GGTGACTGTCACACAAACACAGATTTTTATCCGCGGCGTGTCTGAGGCACACTCAATGAGTCAAGCAAAAAATCAGATTCAAGATGAGTGATACGTCAATGAGCACTTTTAAATTTGGGCTAAACAGGTGGAAGATAGCAGAAGAAGAATCACTAAAGAACGACAACACAGTTCTCATGGAGAAGAATGTCGTTTGAGCAAACTAACATATACTATAATTACAAAACTAATATCGTTCATCTTGTTGTTATGAAAGTCATTTTATCATTCATATTCTTGTAACTCCTCACAGAACACACCACTGAAAGGTTGTGCTTTTGATAATAGGACTTCAAATGAAGGCTTCGAAGCTACAGCAGTCGCTGAATCAGAATACTGGCTGAACTTCATCACCACTGGTGCTGTGCAACTGACACTGTCACGCGAGTTGAAATATGGTTTTGAGTAGGTCGTAATGCAGTAAGTCATTCGGTTGGGATAGTAGCATCAATCGTAGAAACGAAATTTAAAACATTCCAAAATTTTATGCTCCAGAGTGAAAGCTTTTGAATTCGGAAGAGCACTTGAAAAACTGGTGCCTACAAATGCTGAGCAAAATTGCAAAATTTACAAGGAGCTGCTAAACAAATAAAAAATGTAATTATATGCCAGGTAAACATAATATCCGCTTCGATGATTGATAAGCTGCTCTACATTACGACGGGGATCTTGCCATTTCTTACACGGTAGTTACCGCTAGTTCACAGATGATGTTCGGCATCTTTATGACACAGATGATTTGAAGTTTTGGACAAGTTTCATCTATTGACAATTCTTCAACGATCGGCACGGAGAGAACAATTTTGTCCATTCATGTGACTGTGCCGACTTGGATGCCACAGTCTGGGTTGATAATAGGACCAGAACGAACATTTAATTACTTGATCGTTTAATGATTCATACGCCGACTAGTTGCATCAGGCAGTAAAGCGACATTGATCGTCCAGCATATTGGCGTGTCGGCCACGACGGTCTAAGTCAACATGAAGAGAACTAAATTGCGCATCATAAGCACAGCGCTTAAACATATCCGTCAGGGGAAAGTCGACAAGTGGAATGATAGGCAAATGGGATAAATGCTTTAATCTTTAATTCCTGTAAGCATTTACTGCTTTTCTGTACACCGATCACGTTAATACGAACCAGCTGATCCGGCCGTACGAACGAACTGAACAACTGCATACCTTGTTTCTTTGTTTAACTTTGCTGGACTTTCGCTCGTGATGATGATCAATATGGTACGTTCTAAAACACATTCATGTCGCTCGAAACGATGTCTCCGGCGGAAACGTTTACCTCCCAACGATGTTTTCCTTCGTACCGTTGAACATTACCGGAATGTTGGCACTAGTTTCACCGGCTGAGCTATAACTCCAGAGGCAGAAACTTTCCTTGTTTGCAAAGATCACATCGGTGCTGTTGATAACGACGAACAGGATGTCCATTTTTATGTTCATGAAGTTGACAGGAGTACCGATACCGTTGCACAGCTGCACTAAGTACTGAAGCCGATGTTACTGTCGGAAATTCAAAACGATTTTGTTGTTAAAAGCACCTGTCCTGGGTTGTCGTCTGAATTATGAATGATCACACAGTGCTGCTTGTAGCACTTTACGAAGCACAACTGATGAACGTACTTGAAGTGAATCTGAAACATTTTAAGTATGTAAGGCGTTGCGAAGGTATGGGGTTTCTACAGGACCTCTTTGAGTTTTGTGTCCCAGAAGGCCACGCATGTGTCGCCATGTTTCGGTCGAGGGAAACTGTAGATTACGGTCTGGCCAAAATATCCCCACTGAAAGTAACCACGCCGTAGCGGAAAGCTTTGAGGATAAGGTCTAATCGCATAATACTCACTTGATAATCTGGTCTGATGGTGGCAAAATAGATGTAAGAATCGACCGCTAACCCAATTCGAAGGCCAGTTCCTTCCCAGCTGCACTCAGTAAGCCATTTTCCGGGAACTTTGAGACTCCGTAGATGCTAAAACGTATTAAAGCATCACTTCACAAGCGCTGTCAGTTGATTACCTCTCCAAATGCGTTGATGAAGTATATGATGTTTTGCTCCCCTTCCGGGAGAGTGAGGTTTTGCCCGGCGATGAGAAGGAGCGTCCCTGAAGGATTCCATTTGGCCGATGTGATTTTAATTGAGAATGTTAATATCACCGGATCTTTGAAAAAAGATCAACGTTAAAGACGTTAGTAATTCAGAGGTAAAATCGATTATGAGAAGAAATGCATGCTTGCACATTAAAATTGCTTTAATTTTTGACTTCAGTGTGACTCATGCAGTATCATTATGGCATCCACGGTTACGATTCGGCCTAAATCAATTCTGAAGTTTAGTTCTGCATTCAATTTGTGAAAGTAAATGTTAATTTATCGGATCACTAGTTTCAAGGCTCCAGAGCTGCGAGTACATCAATTATTAATTGGAGCAGACTTTCTGAAACATCGACGACTCAGTACCGCAGTTTTCCGATGTACATAAAAGATACCGCAATTCTGTTCTCTTAGTTTAGCTGGCATCTTTACTAGTTTTCGCTTCCTGTGAGTTAATATATTTTCATCTACTTCATCCTCATCTTCCATTACCGCTTCTCCATTCAGGTCGCGGAGGCAGACGCGTCAGACAGAGCTTCCAACGTTCCCGATCCTGTGCCAGAGTCTGAGCTTCGGCAGAAGACAACTGGAGTCTGGAACAAGCACCCTCCATATATTTGCACCAGGTCTTGGCCGTTCCCTGGGCCTTCTGCCGACCGGTTTCGCAAGAAAGAGTTGCTTAGCCTTCTTCTCTTCTGAAAGGAGTATTGGATAAAAATTCTCGAATTAGAACAAATTAAAACTAGCCTTGTGACAAGTGCTACCAGTGGTGCTACGTGAGTGTATTTTGCTTGTGCCACAACCTCGAGTTGAAGTACGGATGTGCCTGATTTGAGTCTATTTTGTAGCATACGTTGGGCATGCATATTTTGCTTGGGCCACAACTTCGAGTGGTCCCGCATTGCATCCGCACTTGCCGGAGTTCAAATGTCTTGAGGCCGTGACTTGGTTAATTGATCCCCTCCCCCTCAAAATATAAAATACATGGGGTGATACAACATTACTGTACAATTCAGTGTAATGTCACATACCGTTATTCATTACAGCCGCAGCCGCAATGGTGCCAGTCTGTTAATATATAGTACCATAGAAAAGGGCCTTTCATATAATTAAATTAGCAGTCGTTAGATTGAACGGAGTACCTAACAGTTGAGCCTGCCATTAAATCAACTTTCCTTTAAAATGGGTAAGAGCAAACAACGAATAGAGCAAGAGATGTACGAATGATTTTATTGATAAAGTACTGTAGTTTTCAGCAATGCATTTCGCTGGCGAAGAGAAACGTAAAACAGTCCGCATGAAATTCATGTTGTGGTTCTGAAATACGAACAACGGTGCTTCGCATGGCTGTTTCGCTGTTTATTTGGATCAGCTCCAAGTTAGAGGTTTGTCTATAGTTTCATCAGCCGTACGATTCTTTCGTTAAGTACGTGTTCAGTTCGGTAATTCTACATGAGAACGTGCATTTAGGACACTTGTAGACAAGATGCCCAGAGCCCATAGTGGATTTTACCATCGTCCAACGCGAAGTTTATTTTACGTTCGCTTTGTGCACCAGTTTAACACATCTGTCACGACTAGACTTCCTACTTGGGAGCGAAATGTCCGGCTGTTCGATTGGAGATAGAAAGGCATAGCGCTGGGAAGAACTGGACAGTATCGATTATCGTTACTGCACGAGAGATTTTGCGTCATCCAGCCACCACCTGCAAAACGGCAAAGAAGATCCATTGTGAGGCAAATTAGGCAACTTGCACTCTCAGCAATAAGAAAATGACAGTTAAGTTCCTTGAGTAAATCTTGTGGCTAAGCCTTAGATTACAGCATCGACGTCCGACCTTAGGAAGAAATCCACGTCGAGAAAACACGCAGTATGCCTAGTATTCAATGATATCCTCATTGCAGGCAGATATTATCTTCAGCAGAACATGGTACTGTCGGCAGTGTTAAAGGCACTCTCTGACGTCTATCTCTGCGACCTGAAAGGATAACTGGTCATCGAAACTGACTTATTTATTTAAAGCATTGCCACCTATTTTAAGCCTGAACCTACTGAGGAATACCGTTGATGATAATTGATAATAACATTCAAAACACTGCAACAGCAAGAACGAAAGTGTACTTTACCTGGATCGTTTTCATGACGCATTATTTGGAGAAAGCCTTGCTGATAAACAATTGCCAACGAAGGAGCGCAGTCGTTGGCCAGCGTGCCAGTAAACTGCGGTTTGTGCCATTGAATGGTGAGCAATTGATGTACTTCCGGAGTAGGAGTACACAAAATTGCGATCTTTGACTTTAAATGCGTGACTGTACAGTTAATCAGTTCAGAGAAAGTTTCAAACTTACTAGGAAATTTCCATAATTATCATACATTTGTACTGATCCATTTATCAATCCGAAAAGTAGTAGATCATCATTCGGTGACCACTAAAATATGTGCTTATCGATGAACATGATGAGGCGAGCAGCTTACGCACAGGCTTAGGACAATAGTAATCATTTGCAAACAAACAAATGGTACATTTTACCTGCACAGCTACGAGACTCAATTTCGTTTCCTTACTCCAAATTCTGTTTCCATCAGCTGATCCAACTATAACCACCCCTGAAAAACGAGCAAGATCATTTTGAGTTTCTCTGGTCGCACACAGTATCGAACCGTCTTCGTATGCTATGCAAATTTGGTTTCCGTCATTACTCCACTGCAAATCTGTGACTACCGACTTATTTCGATTGTTTATCATTTCTTCACACCAAGACCCTAAAGCAAAAATGTTTGATCAAA